AACGGCAAGCCGCACGAAGAACTCGGCGATGCCGCAATGGTCAACCCGCGTGCGAAGCACGCGACACGACACAAATACCTGCTCAAACGACTCGTCAAGACCCTTCGCTCGGCGTGGGGCATGCTCATCGAGATGGAGCCGACTGCACACCTCAGTTACAGTAACCCAAAACAACCTGACGTGGCGGCGGCGAACATCGGCAAAGGGCATGTGCGCCTCGTTGGCGACTTGAAACTGACGAGCTCGCTTGCGTGCAAGGGTGGCGATCGGCTCGGCTGGAAGGGGGCTTTTGTCGCCTTCGGCAACACCGAGCGGGCGCTGCTCGACTTAGTGTTAGGGCATGCTGCATGGCCGCGGCCGGGAGGGGGGGGGGGAGGGGGGAGGGAGGCGGAGGATGCAGAGGCGGAGGCGGCGGCGGCGGAAGAGGAGGAGGGGGAGAGTGAGGGGGAGGCGGAGGCGGGGGCACCTGTGACGGCCCGCTACGAGAAGGGCGAATACCGATTCGCGCGGGAGAAGAATTGCGACCTGCGTTTGCTCGACTTCGAGACGTTCGGCGGCTTCGGGGACGGCGTCCGCAGAATTCTTCGGCAGGCGGCGGACCAGCTGAGTAACAAACTTTCGCACGCTCAGCACCTCGATGAGGTCACATGGACCACCAAGAACTGGCACGGGCTGCAGATGCAGCGCTTGTCTGTCGTTCTCCACACCGCCGTGGCGTGGCAGACGGTGAACGAGCTAGCGTGCGGGGACAGCGGCATTGTGCACGGAGCTAAGTGCATTGCCGTTCTTAACGGAGTCGCTTAGGCGGCTCCGGTGGTGTGCCGGTGATAGTACTAGCACGCGCCAGTTCGCACCTGTGTCGAGCCTGTCTGCTGTGAGAGAGAGTTCTTGTCTAAATTCTTTTCCGTCGCGCCTAAATGCTTGAACAATTGCGTCGTGGCTCCTCGCAAAATGCTTCGCCGGCCGGGTTTGCTGCGCTCCTTGCGCCTCATTCGCGCCCTGTCGACGAGGCCGCAGCTTTTAATCACGGGCGCTACAGGGCTGGTCGGCCAGCGGGTGTGCGACCAGCTGGAGGCGCAGGGCATCGCTCTGCGCCGGTGCGACCGGCCGCCCAGCCAGGACGGCAACTACGTGCAGTGCGACCTGGCGGACGCCGCGGCGCTGCGGGAGGCTTGCCGCGACTGCGACGCGGTGGTGCATCTGGGCGGCGTCTCTGGTCCCGGCTGCGTGTTCGAACCCCCGGTGGATGCGGGCTGCGTGGCCGCTACCAACGTCATCGGCACCATGAACGTGCTCGAGGCGGCCCGGGCGGCGGGCGCGAGGCGGGTCGTATTTGCTTCCAGTGTGTGGGTCTACTGCCCGCTGCCTGGGGACCCCGCAGAGCCCACCCGGCTGTGCGAGGAGAGTCCGGTGAACGCAGTGGACACTTACGCCGCCTCCAAGATAGCCGGCGAGCAGCTTTGTAGGGCATACGCGGCGGAGGGCCTGGTGGACACCGTCAGCCTACGACTCGGATGGGTGTACGGGCCTGGTAGGACCACCGGGTGTGACGTCCGGGGCTTGCTCCAAGGGGAGCCTTCCAGCCTCGACCCAGCGCACGCTCGCAACTACATCTATGTCGATGATGCCGCCACTGCCCTCATCTCGGCAGCGGTCCGGCCGGACCCCTTTGCAGGGATGGCTGTGAATGTGAGTGGTGAGTAGTACGTGGCGCATCAAGAGGTTGAGCAGGCCGTCGAGTCTTTAGGATGCGCCGTGGAGCGGCAGCATGCGGCTGCACCGGACCCTTTAGTGGGCAAGATGGACCTCACCAGAGCCGCCGCCGAGTTGGACTGGCGGCCCCGGATCATGATTGAGGAGGGCGTGAGCAAATATGCGAAACACCTTGGCGTGTTTGCTTCGAGGCGTCGGACGCCGATCTAATCGATGGGCCGTGCGCGGGCGGTAATTAGGCAACCTTGGCATGACCTTGCCCGAGTTCGGGGCCAGCGCTGGGTTCCGCAGCTGCGCGTGCAGCGAGGCGCCCCCCCGTGATATCACCCTCGTCGAGGCGAGGCTGCAGCTCGCCGTCTTTCTCGGAGCCCGGCGCGGCGGGTCCCGGCTCAATGAGGTGATTAGACGTGTTTCGTTTTGATCGGCGATTCGTTTCAAATAATTACGTACAGACTAGTATTACTTGACGGGGGGGGGGGGGGGCACTTGAGCACTGGATAGGGTCGGTTCCGCTAGTATTACTTTGTTTACCGCTTCAAGCGAATCGGGACCTCGGACCAGCGAGCCCGCGATTCGCGAGTGTGCACCAATTTCAAAACGACGTCGACATCGGTGGAATCGGCTGGGTCAACGTCAATGTCGATAGCTCTTTCACGCCGGATCCCCTTGTTGTCTCCGATGTGTCGCGCCTGCGCGCTCGGCGTGTATGAAATCCATATCACCCCCTGCTCCACGATGGGGGCTTTAGGCGACGAGGGCGGGGCGCTAGGCGGCGGTTCGTTTTCGGGGGAGTCGGGTGGGTCATCGGCGTAGCTAGAGGCCCCATCACCGATGTCGTCGAGTGGGATGGTTGTACCTCCTCCGTTAATACCCACGTCGTCGCCCACGGTGCTGCTCTCCCCGTCGTCTGCGTCTGTTGGGACAGACTCGTCTTGCCACTCCGGCGCGCCGCAATCCCTCGCGCCGCTCCTGCCGAGGTCAGCTTTCTTATCGACGTAGTCGTTCCACTTATGACCACTGTGCCCCTTGACGTGTCTCCATGTCACTTCGTGCCTCGACGCTAAATGCCGCCACGCTGCTCGAAGATAGCTCGCTAGTTGTGCGTTCTCCCCCGGCGAGATTCTCCCCGTCGCACACGCCATCGCGTACTCGCTGTCCGTTCGGACCACCCCTCGTGAGCCTGCTGGTTGTGGTGCCGTGTGGAGTAGTGAGCGAAAAAGCTCCGCAAGCGCTGACAATTCTGCCGTGTTATTGGTGTGTTTCCGCGCCCCCACGAAAGCGGCGTGTACGGGGCTAGTCACGACGGGGCCGTAGCCTTCGGTCACGAGCAGGGCTGAGAACAAGAAAAATATTGGAGGTCAGGGCATAAAAATGATCAGCACTCAGCCTTCCCTCCCCCTCCCGGATGGAAGTACTACCTGAGCTCGACCGTGCTTAAAGGCCAAGGTAGGCCGCCTATTGAAATCGCCCGAAGCGCTAGCGCTTCGCTAGCGCAAGCTCGCACGGCCTCTCACGCTCCGCTGCTGCCCTCTTGGCGGCTCTCCGCCCGCCAGCTCGACCAACTCGACCGCCGAGAGGCTGGGATTGGCCGGCGGCGCGACGCGTGGCCTCTGCTGCGGCCATCTCGGACGCTCAAGCGGCGCCAGCCAGCGGCTCGGCCGCGCATCCTTCACACACGCCGCCACGACCAAGCTGAGCGGGCCCGGTGTCGAGTCATGGTGCGAGATGCATGTCAGGGGCGGCTGTGGCCACAGCAGGTCCACCAGACGGGCGTCAAAGCTTGCCGTCGGCGTGCTGTCGTGGCGAGAGCCGAGACCGCTGCAGAGGAGCCGAGTGCAGTGGCGAGCCAGAGGCTACCAGGGTCACCAGGTGGTAGCCCTTGCCCATTCTGAGCAGGGATGTGCTTTGATGGGGTTGTGCTTGAGCGTGTGTGAAGTGGGAGTGCGTGCCGGCGGTGTCTGTGGCTGAAACGGGCGTGTGTGAGGCTGCAGAGCCGTGGTATGAGCCAGAGTGAGCTTCATCACCCAAGATAAGTGCGGTTTAGGACAGCTCAGACCTGATACTGATGGGCCTGGGCCAGGAGAGCGACAGAGAAGGCGAGGTGGTGAGCTGGGAAGCCGCTTTGTCGGCACCTGGACGTGTCGCGATGAAGTGCCAAAAAGTACTATTTGCGGCTATTGCTCCAAACTTCGGGAGACAAGGCCTACATATTATGACTGCATCCATGAGCCTAGTGCATGAGGGCTGTGGGTCGGGACATTTCACGGTCGGTGGCGCCGATAATGACCTCCGTAATGCCCTCGCAATCGGCTCGGATGGGGTCCACCGGGGACAATCTCGGAGCCCTCTCCGTGGCATCACGAGCCGGTGTGAGCTTGAAGACCCGAGGTAAGTGCGGTTTAGGACAGCTCAGACCTGATACTGATGGGCCTGGGCCAGGAGAGCGACAGAGAAGGCGAGGTGGTGAGCTGGGAAGCCGCTTTGTCGGCACCTGGACGTGTCGCGATGAAGTGCCAAAAAGTACTATTTGCGGCTATTGCTCCAAACTTCGGGAGACAAGGCCTACATATTATGACTGCATCCATGAGCCTAGTGCATGAGGGCTGTGGGTCGGGACATTTCACAGTCGATGGCGCCGATAATGACCTCCGTAATGCCCTCGCAATCGGCTCGGATGGGGTCCACCAGGGACAATCTCGGAGCCCTCTCCGTGGCATCACGAGCCGGTGTGAGCTTGAAGACCCGAGGTAAGTGCGGTTTAGGACAGCTCAGACCTGATACTGATGGGCCTGGGCCAGGAGAGCGACAGAGAAGGCGAGGTGGTGAGCTGGGAAGCCGCTTTGTCGGCACCTGGACGTGTCGCGATGAAGTGCCAAAAAGTACTATTTGCGGCTATTGCTCCAAACTTCGGGAGACAAGGCCTACATGTTATGACTGCATCCATGAGCCTAGTGCATGAGGGCTGTGGGTCGGGACATTTCACAGTCGATGGCGCCGATAATGACCTCCGTAATGCCCTCGCAATCGGCTCGGATGGGGTCCACCGGGGACAATCTCGGAGCCCTCTCCGTGGCATCACGAGCCGGTGTGAGCTTGAAGACCCGAGGTAAGTGCGGTTTGGGACAGCTCAGACCTGATACTGATGGGCCTGGGCCAGGAGAGCGACAGAGAAGGCGAGGTGGTGAGCTGAGAGGCTGGAGAGTCCGCGTGTGACCTTGTCGCGATAGAAGTGCCACGAAGCGCTATTTCC